TGTAATGCACTCATCTTGACTAATAAACAAGTGTTACCAGCTGTGATTCTTTGAATCATTTTTAGACCAGTTTTCTTGATTGAGATTCAAATTCGGGTTAAATGCATACGTATAGTCAGCATACAGTATACCACTACATTTATGCTTCTGACAGACACTTTTATACAAATAATTGTACATTTTGTTACCATTTCCTGCTTTCCCAGGGGAATCAAACCAATGATCTTGGTGTTTGTAGCGCTGTGCTGTTTGAGCTACAGGAACGGCGTATGCATGCTTGTATTCCATTGCGAACATAACCCCAAACCTTCCAGTTTAATCAGATGAATTAAATCGAACCAAGTGAGCAGCCGCAGTTAATAGATGCGTGGGAATGCAGGTATCACAGACTCCGCTGGTTGCTATAGAGGGGCTGCTTGCCTCATTCCACGGTTGCCACGGTGATTGTCTGTTCAGTCCTCTCAGTCAACAACACACGGACAGGAATCCATCCAGCCACAGACTAAACCTGTCATTTACTCACCCTCATGTTGATTCAAGCCTGTATGCCTTTTTCTACATTTCTAGTGCTGTTATGGAGCTGTTTTGTATGGAAGCATGTTTCCTCCACATAATTAAAAAAAAGCAATTGTGACCTTTTATTTCACAATTCCGACTTTTTATTTCAGAAACAGAATCAGAAGTGCAATTATGATGTTTTTCTCTGAATTCTGAGTTTAAATCTTGCGATTCAGATTTTTTTCTCTCTGAATACTGAGTTTAAATCTTGCAATTCTTGTTTTGTTTTTTTTCATCAGAAATGGTTAAAATTTTGCAATTATGATGTTTTTCTCTGAATTCTGAGTTTAAATCTTGCAATTCTTGTTTTGTTTTTTTTCATCAGAAATGGTTACAATTTTGCAATTATGAAGTTTTTCTCTGAATTCTGAGTTTAAATCTTGCAATTCTGAATTTTTTTCTCTGAATAGTGAATTTAAATCTTACAATTCTTGTTTTTTAAACATCAGAAAGAGTTTAAAATTGGCCATAATGATGTTTTTATCTGAATACTGAGTTTACATCTTGCAATTCTGTTTTTAAACATCAGAAACAGTTCAAATTGCGCAATTATGATGTTTGTCTCTGAATTCTGAGTTTAAATCTTGCGATTCAGATTTTTTTCTCTCTGAATACTGAGTTTAAATCTTGCAATTCTTGTTTTGTTTTTTTTCATCAGAAATGGTTAAAATTTTGCAATTATGATGTTTTTCTCTGAATTCTGAGTTTAAATCTTGCAATTCTGAATTTTTTTCTCTGAATAGTGAATTTAAATCTTACAATTCTTGTTTTTTAAACATCAGAAACAGTTTAAAATTGGCCATAATGATGTTTTTATCTGAATACTGAGTTTACATCTTGCAATTCTGTTTTTTAAACATCAGAAACAGTTCAAATTGCGCAATTATGATGTTTGTCTCTGAATTCTGAGTTTAAATCTTGCAATTCTTGTTTTTCTTAAACGTCAGAAACAGTTTAAATTTGGCAATTATGATGTTTTTCTCTGAATTCTGAGTTTAAATCTTGCAATTCTTGTTTTTTTTTTCATCAGAAATGGTTAAAATTTTGCAATTATGATGTTTGTCTCTGAATTCTGAGTTTAAATCTTGCAATTCTTGTTTTTTTTTACATCAGAAATGGTTAAAATTTTGCAATTATGATGTTTTTCTCTGAATTCTGAGTTTAAATCTTGCGATTCAGATTTTTTTCTCTCTGAATACTGAGTTTAAATCTTGCAATTCTTGTTTTGTTTTTTTTTCATCAGAAATGGTTACAATTTTGCAATTATGAAGTTTTTCTCTGAATTCTGAGTTTAAATCTTGCAATTCTGAATTTTTTTCTCTGAATAGTGAATTTAAATCTTACAATTCTTGTTTTTTAAACATCAGAAACAGTTTAAAATTGGCCATAATGATGTTTTTATCTGAATACTGAGTTTACATCTTGCAATTCTGTTTTTTAAACATCAGAAACAGTTCAAATTGCGCAATTATGATGTTTGTCTCTGAATTCTGAGTTTAAATCTTGCGATTGTGACTTTTTTTCTCTGAATACCGAGTTTAAATCTTGCGATTGTGACTTTTTTTCTCTGAATACCGAGTTTAAATCTTGCAATTCTTGTTTTTCTTAAACGTCAGAAACAGTTTAAATTTGGCAATTATGATGTTTTTCTCTGAATTCTGAGTTTAAATCTTACATTTTTTCACATTTATCTCTGAATTCTGAGTTTAAATCTTGCAGTTCTGATTTTCTTTCTCTTAATTCTGAGTTCACGTCACAATTTTGACTTTTTTCTAAATTCTAAGTTTACATCTTGCAATTCTGATGTTTTTCTCTTATAAAGACATGAAGTTGCAATTAGCTTTCTTATTTAGAAGCTTATTAGAAGCGAAAATGAGCTTCAACAGTTTTGTCCTTTATGGAGCCTGGCAATAAAAATCACCTTCAAAACAGCAGCTCAAACATTCTTCTAAATATCTCCTTTCTTCTGCAACAAAAGAAAGTAAGCCATGCACAACGTGAGGGTGAGAAAATGGCAATTCTCCTTTTTAGGTAATCTGTTCCTTCAACTGGCTTGTCTGTAAAACATCTTATCTTGCAGTCATATCACTGCCAATTAAAATATTCACTATTTTGATTTGGGAGACATTTATTTGCCCCTGGAGTGCATCAGACAGTCTGCAGCGGGTTGGCTAACTCGGAGCTTACGCTGAGCTAATAGTCTGTCGATTAACCCCGCAGGACTGAGAGAGAGAGAGACAGCAGAAACCAAACCTCACCGTCTTATCTCTTCCTTTTCTCTGTCTTTCCACTCAATTTTTCACTTCCTTTCCTCAGGGTTCGCACACAATCTCTCTCCTCTCGTGCTTTCAGGATGGATTTTGGGGAGCGCTGACTTTGCGAGTTGCTCTGATAGATAGAGACTGTGCAACACTACAGTCTTACCTTTCCTCTTCACTCTTCTGTACATTATTGGATCATATTTTCCTCTTAACGTTAAGTGATTTTAAATTAGAAGCTGTCAAATAATCATAAAGTGAAATTTAAACTGACCCTATTTACTTAATAGTAAGTAAGTACGCGTTCCTGGTCTTTTTTATTCATGATGTAGCTGTTTCGTGTCAAATAAGCATAAATTAACCCTATTTACTTTCTTAATACACATTCCTGATCCTTTTGTCCATGATTTAGTATGCATTATTCCAAAACAAAAATCATTCTGATATATAACACCCACCTTTTACAATCCAATCAAATTCTATGGATAAAATCTCAAGTGTTTTCCCCCCGTAAATATGTCAGATTAAGAAAGTAAAATGAAAAAAAAAGTAATTTCATGTTCACTTCAACATATCCTACAATAAATGCCTTTTTTTCCAGGGTGATATCTAGCCAAACCTGACCATGATCAAAGCACACGTCTTCATCTCCAATTCCTTCTCTTTTCTGACCGATCTTTCAAAAGCTTTGACACATTAAAGCATCACAGTGACAATGTCAGAAAGTATCTAGGTCACGTATGCTATCTCACCTTGACCTGTCCTGTCATAAGCACAGCACAAAAGCTTCTTTCAGCTGGGATCTGACAGCTTGAGTACTCATCAAAATGTAGTGCTTCAGACCAGTATAGTTACTTAAAGGAACACTCCACTATTTTTGAAAATAGGCTCATTTTCCAACTCCACTAGAGTTAAACAGTTGAGTTTTAGAATCCATTCAGCCGATCTGTGGGTCTGGCGCTAGCACTTTTAGCTGCAGCTTAGCATAGATCATTGAATCTGATTAGACCGTTAGCATCTCGCTCAAAAATGACCATAGAGTTTCTATATTTTTCCTTCGGAAAATGAAAAGTTGCGATTTTCTAGGCCGATATGGCTAGGAACTATACTCTCATTCCGGCGTAATAATCACGGAACTGCGTAATATCATTGCGCCTGCTGCACCCATGGTACGGCAGCAAAGTTCCTTGATTATTACACCGGAATGAGAGTATAGTTCCTAGCCATATCGGCCTAGAAAATCTCAACTTTTCATTTTCCGTCGGTCTTAGTACACGATGTAACTACAGAAGAGTCAAGTTTTAAATAGGAAAAATATAGAAACTCTATGGTCATTTTTGAGCGAGATGCTAACGGTCTAATCAGATTCAATGATCTATGCTAAGCTAAGCTAAAAGTGCTACCGCCAGACCCGGAGATTGGCTGAATGGATTCGAAAACTGTAAAACTCAACTGTTTAACTCTAGGGGAGTTGGAAAATGAGCCTATTTTCAAAAATAGTGGAGTGTTCCTTTTAAGATTATAGACAAAGAGTGAAAGGAAAACTCAAAGATGGCACAAGGACAGGGATGTCAGTTTGCCCAATTAGCTGGCGTCATTATGACTTCATTGGCAATTAGCTGAGATGCCAACAACCTCTCTGAAATATTCAAGGACATTAAGGTCTAAAAAATAATCTACGCAAGTACACTACAGTTTAAACATTTTCGGGGTCCCTTTTTTGAAAGAAATTAATACTTTTATTCAGCATGGATGCATTAAATTGATCAAAAGTCACCTTAGAAACACTTACTATTTTACGAAAAAATTATATTTGAAATAAATGCTGTTCTTTTGGAATTTCTATTCATCAAGGAACCCTAAGGAAAAAAATGAATCATGGTTTCCACAAAAAACATGAAGCAGCACAACTGTTTTCAACTGATAATAATCAGAAATGTTTTTAAGCAGCAAATCAGCATATTAGAATGATTTCTGAAGGATCATGTGACACTGAAGACTGAAGTAATGATGCTGAAAATACAGCTTTCCATCACAAGAATAAATTACATGTTTAAATATATTCAAATAGAAAATAGCCATTTTAATTTGTAATAATATTTCACAAATTTGTTTTTTGATCAAATAAATGCAGCCTTGGTGAGCAAAAGAGACTTTCAATCACATTAAAAAGCTAACCAACCCCATAATTTTGAACGATAAATGTATGTGAACACTGCTTTCGCATCTGTGTACTTGCGTAACATACATTTTTGGCCTAAATGTCAACTTTTTCCTCGAGAAGAAACAAGCTACAAATTGAGAGAAATATAACGACTGTCTTTTGGCGTCGTTCCCTGGCATTGTGACACACTATATTGTGCTGTTTTGTTCTGGAAGAAAAGTTCATGTAGCATGGAAGAGAAAAATACGTAATCTGTGAGCATACGGGGAAAACAGAGGACTTGTGCATACTGAACTCCATCGCACAGTGAAAAACCATAACATCTGTGCAGCAACTGGGAGATGTAGCAGCTTCTATGGAAGTGCGTGCTCGGCTGCAAGTGTTACAGTCATTGGAGTCGACGGATGAGTTTGCACTTAATAACAGTTCTGACTCGTGCCTTTTAGCGCAGAGCAGAGGTAAAGTCAGCAAGAGCGAGCGTCAGTCGGCAGGCTATTGTTAGAAGTGGAATACCTGCTGCTGACCCTGCTGGAGCTTTGGGAGTTCCTCCTGCTGTTTCCTGCTGCGGCGCTCCAGGCTGCTCTGCTGCAGGTGCCGCAGACGGGACGCGGCAGATGGCTGCACCAGTTTGGCGGAGCCCGGAGGAGTGCCTACGGGCTGAGAACCAGAGAGAACAAACATGAATAAACAACAGCAGGCTGGGCTGGGCTGGGCTGGAAAATGACCGTGTTTGTTTAAGTCGTGGGACTGAGTTTGAATAATTCACGTTTGTTGGAAGAAGAGTGTCATGATAAAAGCTCTGCTCCAAAACCCAGTGAGCTGCCCAACATCTCTGCTCCTGATGAGAATGAAGACCGTTTAACACAATTTTCTGAAGAATATGTGAGAGGTGCGTTGTTTTTGATTGCTTTGAGGAAATATGCAACTTTTAGATATCATAAACCTCCAGCGTCTTGACCCAACTGGTAAGCTGTTAGTGGAATGGAAGCCCATATAAATAATAATAATATTTATTATAATTATTATTATTAACAAATTATTATTATCATTAATATTGACTATCAATAAATGTTATTATTATTATTATATAACATTTTATTTTGTTACTTAATTGCTTTATTATAGAATATTATATAATAAGAATTATAAAAAATTAAAGTTACGATGTGAGAAAAAAATAACAATAATAATGCAAATATTATTATTAACTAATAATAATAATAAATTTATTATTAATATTGACTACTATTATTATAATTATAATCAATTGCTTAATACTCAATTGCTTTACTCAATATTATATTATATAATAAGAAATAGTTACAATGTGAGAAAAACAGAATAATAATAATAATAATAACTAATAGTAATAATTTATTCACTTATTATTATTATTATTATAATGAATAAGAAATATAAAAACAGTTAGTTACAATGTGTAATTTATTTATTATTATTAATATTGACTATTATTATTAATTGCTTAATACTCAATTGCTTTATTCAATATTATAATAATATATAAGAAATATAAAAATATAGTTACAATGTGAGAAATAAACAGAATAATAATAATAATAATAATAAACTAATAGTAATAATTTATTATTATTAATATTGACTTTTGTTATTATTATTATTATTATTTATAATATTATAATTATTAACACTTAGTAAAACTACTTAATTCTTAGTTGCTTTATTTAATATTATATAATATTATTTGATAAAAAATATAAAAACAGTTAAAATGAAATAAATAATATATTATTATTAATAGTGCAAATATTAATAACAATAGCAGTCATTTATTAATGTTGTTCATTATTATTAAATAAATTAGAATTATTATATAATACTTAACATATAAATACTTAATTGATTTATTTAATATTACATAATACTGTTAAATAAAGCATTTAAGAAAGCTTTTAAAAGCACATTAAACATATGTGAGTGTTGCATTATGTTAATGAAGGTGGTTGTCAGGCCGTTGCTATGCGGTTGCTAGGGTGTCCAAAAGTCTAAGAGCTTGGTCTTTACTATATTCCGACTTCTAAACGCGGCTTGGGTCTCGCCTTCAGTGTAAGTCTATGGGATATTGTCCCCCATTTTAATGGCAGCTGGGTTACAATATAAAATAGAAATTTATTCAGCACTGAAAATGGAAAGATAATAAATCTGTCTAATTGAAATTACACCATTCCATCCATTTTTGTATGTACTACACATTAGTGCGCAGCAGAACCAAGCCGTTAGCTTAGCATCATGATCCATTACAGTCCGGTTCGGTTGCTGCAAATGTAGACAGAGACGCAGTTTGCTAGGTTTTGGATCAAAGAGCAAAGGAATAGAAATAGAAATCATTCATAAGAATGAAAGAAAGAGACACAGGGAATCTCTACAGAGCAGCATGCAGCAGTCGTGTTGACTGACACCCTGCATGTGTGCAAGGAAGCTGATATTAGCACTCTTTCACACTTCTTTCATTGTGAGACATTAGTAGTAATCATCACAATGCATCTCTGCAGGCTGACAACAAGATTCACACACACACATATACGTATATACAGACACAGGCTGTCCAGATATCTCAGATGATAACAACACCGTCAAACAGACCAGTAGACCAGTTTTCTTCTTCAGACATCCTGAATTCACTGGTCAATTTCACTATAGTGTCCTGTAACTAATAGCTTGTTGATACAGTAAATGGAACGAGTGAAAATGAGGTACGTACATAGTTATGAAACATATAGTGTATGGAAAAGTTGTCGAGACTGATGAGCGGGCAAAGCCAGCAGTTCATTTAGACCGCAGTAGCTGACATGTTTTTTGTGTTGTCTGTTTGTTCTTGGCTCTTGAAGGTTTTGCTTTAAAGACTTTAAGCTTGTTAAAATTGATTTGCTACCACAGTGTCACAACATTACTGTCGCTGTGAAGAAGAGGCACAGCTTGACATAACAAAAGAGAAAAAGAGATGACCTTGACTGATACATGCTGTTTATTCCAACTGCTTAGCATCAAAAGAAAAAAAGTGAACTGTCTGTAATGTCAGAATGTTATATCTGTAAAAATGACAGATATAATAATTATTTGCATGTACATTTTGCAGTTACAGAGTTTCTATTTAAAATGTTTTAACATATTATATGCATATTGTTATTGCTTGCTTTGAGGAAATATGTGACTTTTCATTCAAAATTATGAGAGATATCTTAAACTCCCAGTGTCCCACCTGGTGTTAAGTATGGAAGCCCATTTTCACCTTAGTTTTATTTTTACACAGTAAAAATAAAACTAATTGTGAGAAAGTTCAAAATAAGAAAGAGTCACACTGTGAAATATGAAATAAATAAATAATAAATATTATATAATCACATAATAATACATATTATATAACATTTAATGCTTAATATTCGATAACATATTATTAAAGCAATTAAGAGATACATTTGCAATTGTGAGAAAATAATATTTTATTTAATAATATATTTTAATAATGTAATATAATATAATTTAATAATGTACTGTATATTTATAAAAGTGTATATTTATAATCTTCATAATTATTTATAATTACATTTATAATTATTAATTATAAAAAATTATAATTATTATTAAATATGTTCATTATTATACCGTATTTAATGGCTTAATAGCTTTAATAATAAAATATAATATTAAATTACTAACATTTTATTTAATGTTTATTTAATAATAACAATATTAAATAAACTATTATTGTATAATATTTAATTGCTTAATGCTTAACTGCTTTATTTAATATTATATCAATGTAATACATTATTAAATAAAACAATTAAGTATTTTCATTATTTTAATATGAATTTTAATATTATACAATAACATTTTATTATTATATTATATTATATTATATTATAATAGATTAGAGATTATAAGAGAAACATTTGCCATTTTTTAGAAACTATAAAATCTCTTAGGTGGAAACAGACTTTCACATATCAAATATTACAAGTCAAGAAACACTTAGAAAAACATATTTAGCTCCCAATGTGTTTTTTATAGCCAAGTTTCAAAACCAAACCTCATTCAAGCTGTCTAATAACATGCAGTAGCAGAGCTGGTTAAAGACTTGAAGAGATGACAGATTAATAGGTTTTGTGTCAGAGTGCATTAGCAAGGTTCAGGAAAAACCTCAATGGCAGAAGTTATTAATAACATGCAGTAGCAGAGCTGGTTAAAGACTTGAAGAGATGACGGATTAATAGGTTTTGTGTCAGAGTGCATTAGCAAGGTTCAGGAAAAACCTCAATGGCAGAAGTTATAGGAAGGCCTGAGAGGAAGGACTGGCAGTTAACACGTTACCTCTCTCCACAGAGAGTTGCTGATCCACTGGCCTGCCCTGTCAACACTGTTAGGAGTGACCTCAGCAGTGACCCTCAGTCTCACTGGGGCTCTCTGAAACGCCTGTCGTGTTGGTGTGTGTGGAATAATGCATTGACGTGTTAAAGTTTGGAGGAAAATGAACAACACATTATTCCCAAATCTGTGGTATTGAAGTCTTGACAAAGCAAAACAAATTATTTCTTGGCTATTTACTGAATAACAGACCAATCAAGAGTTTTTGTACCTCAGTGTCATCATATACGTATGTACACATACTCATAAGAAACTGTGACAATAACACCATTTCATCTATCCGACAGATGTATGTAAGCTTTTTACCTCTAGCTCTGCCATTATCTTCTCATCTTCATCCTCATCTTCCTTCATCCCAGAAGCAGCGATGACCGGAGGTGTGGATGAAGGTCGGGGCCCGTCGGAAGTCGATGGGCGTCTCAGTTTGACGGGAGGTGTCTGGGATTGAATCGGTACTTCAGCCTCCTCTCTGTTCTCTATCTTCTACAAAAATAAGACATGCATGAAAGAGCAACCTAATAAACATCTACAGGCACAGCAAGATATGAAGCACAAGAAATATTAACAGCTGCAGCAAAGGAAATAAAACTTTAACAGTTAACAGCTAATGAAGTACAAAGTACATATTATTACAACAAAAGCATTAGAATTTGTTACTATGCTACTCATACTTCAAATTTTGTTCAATTATTAAAAAACTGGCTCAGATGATCAGTTTTCAAAAGTTATGATGATGTGAGTCTATTGATATTGACCCAAAATTATAATGTATATCTTGGCAAAACTTTGATCTACTGTAACGAAACTTCGTACACTTCATCAGTACCATGATCTGAGGGCACATGCCAAATTTAGGAAGAGTGCCACCTACCGGTCATGAGATCAGTGTTAAAAAGTTATGATGATGTGAATCTAATGATTTTTGACCAAATTAAAATATACAGAATAGACGCTATATCTTGGCAAACTTTGATCTATCAAAACACAACTTGGCACACTTCATCAGCACCATGATCTAAGTGTACTTGTCCAATTTGGGAACAGCGCCACCTTCAGGTTATGAGATCAGTATTCAAAAGTTATGTTGATGTGAATCTAATGATTTTGACCCTAAATTAGCATATATATAAAGTAGAATAGATGTTATATCTTGGCAAAACTTTGATCTATCGAAACAAAACTTGGCACACGTCATTAGCACCATGATCTGAGGGTACATGCCAAATTTGGGAACAGTGCCACCTACAGGTCATGAGATACAAAAAAATAGCTATTTTTGTTCAAAATTTTTGAAATGTCAGAAAATCATTAGCTTTGTGTCTACAGATTTCTTGAGTCATGCTGAATTCGTTGATACTAATTTTGCCAGGATCGGATGAATGTTGCCTGTCAGCAATTTTGAAATTTGTCGCAACCTGTAATATTTTTTAAATGCTTTAATATATCGCAACATAATTTGGTACACATAATTGACAACATGCCCTTAACATGCCTGAAAAATTTAAAGACAGTGCCACCTAATGTTTAAAAGATTTAACTTTTGAAAATTGTTTACCTTCACACTCTTGTTTATGGTGATAACTTCTCCACTGCTGTTGGTCGTGAGCCCAAGACCTGATGGGAAACTTCGTCGTGGAGGAGGAGGGGGCGGAGACTTGGACAGCTTCTCTGTGCGATACCGTGGCACAGTCAACTCCCCTGATCAATCAATCAAATCAATCGATCAATAAACTGTTAATCTGTCTATTGATCAGTCAGATCATAATGAAACATAGCCAAAATCATAAGGCAGTTGCTATAGTTCTTGCTGTAGTAATTATATTATCTCACCTGATCCCCTGCGTGGGATGCCGTCTTTGCTGGGTGGTTTTGGTGGGGTTTTGCTGGGCTGATGTTCAGGTGTTAAGGTAGGAGTGGAGGAGGCTGAACCGGGCGCTGGGAGGGAGGACAGCTGCGGTTTTGGCGGTACGGCCGGTTTGGTGATCTGCTTGGCAGCAAAGTCCAGATCTGGAATGGCCTTCATCAGCTCAGCTTGAGTTTCCTCCAACAGACGATTGATGTCTTGAGCGCTGAACTGAGTTAAACTGGCTCTCTTTTCCTCCCAGTCTCGCTCTGCAGCCTAAAGACACACACCCACGTGCGTTATCGCACAGAGGTTCCCAAGCTTTAAATAAATCTTACACAGGGGTGTGATGCATGTGTTTACAGTTTGGAGAGAGTAAAAGGCTGAAGTTAGCAAAATGATTCAAAACTTTTAAAATGTTACAATTGTAATATTAATGTACAAGAAAAAGTCAAATTTATTTGATTATATTTATAGTACTTTTAAAACTTTCAGGTTTGGAAATCACCATTTTATTATTTCGACATATCCATGACTGTTGAAACTAAAGCAGCAAAACGCTTAAAAAAACAGAAAGAGAAGTCAATTTAGTTAGTAGTGTGTTCATTACCAGTCGGACCTCCACAGACACTCCTTTGTCAGATTCTCTGCGTGCGGGCAGATCTTCTAGGCCGCTGGTCTTTACCGTGCCATCCAGTTCAGGCATGATGGGATCTGTCGCCCCGGCCCCTGCCAGCCAGTTACCCAGTGTAGTGCTGCCAGGAATACCACCGCTGCTCATACTGGCACCAATGGCAGAGCCGAGCACGTTAGACAGACTAGTGGTACATCCTAAAATCAGTCAATCAATCAATGAATCAGTCAATCATTTAAATAACAAATTATCCAGCAAGCATTAACCAATAAATGTTCCCAAAGCTTGTTCTCTAAATATATCAGTTAAAGATCAGAATGAGAGTCCAAACAGCTGATAAAAACATCACAATAATCCACAAGTAATCCACACCACTCCAGTCCATCAATGAACATCTTGTAAACTGAAAACTTGTGTGTTTGTAAGAATCAAATGTATCATTAAGGCTTTTAAAACTGGCCAAAAATACGAGTCCATAATAACGCTTCCTCTGGTGAAAAAGTCCATCCCCTGTTGTGTCTCACATCAAAAACCACCAAAATAATTGTTTAGAGCTGTTTTGGGCTGTTTTGACTTGTAAATGATGCTTGATCTGTGCACATTTCTCTCCTGATTCAGACCAGATGACTTTTTCATTGGAGAAAGCCATATTATGGATAGAGGGCTCAGATTTTAGCTGGAAGCAGTGGTCTTAATTTCTTTCTCACAAATACATTATCTGATGGACTGGAGTGGTGTGGATTATTGTGATGTTTTTATCAGCTGTTTGGACTCTCATTCTGACGGCACCCATTCACTGCAGAGGTGAGCAAGTGATATAATGATAAATTCCTCCAAATCTGTTCCAATGAACAGAATCTACATCTTGGATGGCCTGAAGGAGAGTAAAAAAAAAAATCAACTACTCCTTAAATAAATCAAAACCTCAAAGAGACTGTAAAACTGGTGTTTACCTATACTAGAAGCACTCGTTAGGCCAGGATGTGTGGTATTAGTGCCCAGGGAGGCAGAAAGAGTGGCAGTGCCTGATAAGGTGCCTCCTAGGTCGGGCAGATTTAGAGAAGGGCTGGTGAGAATATCTAGATCAGAGCTCCTGCTGAAGTCAGCGTCACTTGCACTGGAAACTGAACTACTGAAGTCATCGGGTGTCCTCCACACACCTTCTGATGCCTGCCTGTACACAAACACACACTGAGGAATTCTTTAGGCATGGCACTAGAGAACATATCTGAACAGAAGTGAATGTTTGTGTTTGTGTGCGCGTTACCTTCGTAGTAGAGCGAGTGTACTGGTGATGTTTCTGCAGCGCTTCAACAGGGCCTCCAGTCTGAGCGGTTCCTCTTTCAGAAACTTGACGGCTTCCACCTCCACCCTCAACACCACACGCATCTTACTTTGTAAGTTGGGGAACTGATCTAAACACATAAAATGTAGAACATAGTACATAGAATTAGCCTATAATTGGACTGTATAGATTTCCACACCGCTACTGTGTACAGAGCAAGACCAAGACAAATGTAGTCTGATTACAGAACGAATGACTCTTATGATCTAAAATTATATAGCGCAACCAACCTGAATGAATGACTCTCATGAGTCAGATCTTTTTAATGAATCAAAAATATATTGCGCAACCAGTATATTGCGATTCATGAACTAATCATTCTAAAGATATGGATCTTTTTAGTGAATCAAAACCATTCAGCTCAACCAGTGTAATCCGACTCCCGAACAAATGACTCTTATGAGTCGGTTCCGTTTAGTAAATCAAAAATATATAGCACAGTCAGTGTAGTCTGACTCTTTAAACAAGAAATGGCTCTTGTGAGTCGGTTCTTTTTAGTGAATCAAAAACATACAGCACAACACGCTTAAACCGATTCCCGAATGAATGACTTTTATGAACCAGTTTTTTTTTAGTGAATCAAAAAAAAACATACAGCACGATCAGTGAAGTCTGATTCCCGAATGAATGACTCTTATGAGTAAGTACTTTTTAGTGAATCAAAAACATACAGTACAGGACCACCAGTGTAGTCTGACTCTTGAACGAATGACTAGTATGAGCCGGTCCTTTAAAGTGAATCAAAAACATACAGAGCAATCAGTACAGTCTTTTTAACGAACTATGAGTCAGGTTCTTTTCAGTGAATCAAAAACTATATAGCTCACCTAGTGCAATCCGAACCCCTAATGAATGGCTCGAATGATGACTAGTTGCAGACTAGTTGTTCATTACAATTGTATATTACAAATTTTGTGTAAACAAACAAAATGTATTATATATAATTAAAATAATCATTAATGGTCGGTAGCATGAACGGTATACTGTGTGCAAATTGCTCTTCTTCATTGGTCACTCACTCTTGAGGTCAGTGACAGTCTCTCCCAGTCTCCTGAGCTCCAGAATCTTCTGTTCTATTTCCTGTTCTGTCACCAGGTGATGGTTAAGTCCCACCCCCATCCTCATTTCCTCCACCGAGCGCTCGAGATCACTGGAAACACAAAGGAACACATCACACCCAACACAAATCGTATGCAGCATTGTTTTTCAGTATATGTTCTCATTTAGAGGTTGCAGATGCTTTGGCTCACTGTAGTTGTTGTATAATAAGTTCTTCTTCATTAAGGTAGCGTAGCCTCTCTTCTTCAACAAGAAGACGCTGCCGCTGTAATGGATCTTCTTGTGTGCGAGACGCCTCGATCAGACACATCCCCAAATCAGACTCCGTCTGCCTCAGTAACGCTTGAACGGAGTCCTGATTCTGCAACTGTAAAACACACAGATATACAAACCTGTATATATGAATAAAATATTGTTAAATATAAACCCAAAGATTAGATACATTAAAATTTTATTACGCTCTTCATACAGTACACATTTCCCATGCAATTGCCTGTCAAGCTCCAAAAAAACATAAAAATGTATTATTTATGTGCTAATTCCCTAGTCTTCTGAAGCCATTTCAGAGCTTTGTGTGAATAAAATGAATTTCTTTAAGGCATTATTTATAATCATTTTACCCCAATGAATATGTCACAAATTAGAAGTTTTGCTATTCATCTAGCAATATTATGCAAAATTTCATTCCCACCTGTGCACAAGATTAAATACACAGCAAAAAAAAAGTAATATAATTTATTTGCTTTCTAAACCGTCCAGCTGAAATATAAAATATCACCAGTTAACCGTCCCCAAAATAATACACACTAGTGCACAATAAATTATAATAATTAAATAAAATATTATATAAAAATACATATTATTATAAAATAATAATAATTAATAATGTCATATTTATTCATTATAAATTATATATGTGTATGTATATATATATATATATGACATTATTATTATTATGTCATATTATAAATAATAATACATAATTAAAATCAATATAATTAAATAAAAAAATATTAAAATCAATAAATATTTCCATATAGATTAAATTATTATAAATTATATACACACACACACACACACACACAATTAAAATGAATAAATATAATATAATATAAAGTCAGAGTAAATTAAATATATTAAAATAGATATTTAAATGTAATATATTAATAATAATAATAATAATAATAATAATAAAGTCATATTATAAATTATAATACATTAATAATTCAAATAAATAAAAATATTAAATAATAAATATATTTAATATTAATTCATTATAAATTTCAAATAAAAAATAATTAATTTATACATAATTGCAATGAATAAAAATACAATATAATGTCAGAGTTGATATACATCATAAATGAAAAATAAAAATCTATCTATCTAAATACACAGCAGTTTTTAGAACTTACATGAGACTTACAAACGCACAAAACACACACACACCTGTAACTGGCGCAGCTGTGTCAGCTGTTTGCGCAGTTCAGCTGTGTGCTGCTGCAGGTCCGTCAGGTGCAGCAGCATTTGTGAACGGGACATTGCTATTGGCTGAGAGGCTGCAGTGGGCGGAGGCGGCATCAGGGCCAGAGGAGCAGATGGCGATGACACTACCAATCCACAGGAGCAAACGTCATACATAATACATTGAACTTACATAAAAACACATGCAATTTCATTTAAAATGTGTAATAGTGAAATCTGATTATCCATAAGCCTGTTAGTCATTCTGCTTTAAATGTCTAAATCTATTAAAATTTTTTTGTAAATGCCTAATTTCCATATTAACCACAAAAGAACAACAAAAGGCATCTGATTCTTTGTCTTGATTTGTACATTATGAGTCACATCCAAAAACAAGCCCAACACAACTCAGTACATCTACAGAAAGATCCAAAGATCAGCATTTATCTGAAATAAAAAGCTTTTGTAACATTATACACTATACCATTCAAAAGCTCTTTTTAAAATTTATATTAGAAATTATTACTTTCATTTAGCAAGGATATTTTAAATTGATCAAAAGTGATAAAGACATTTATAATGTTACAAAGGATTTCTATTTGAGATAAATGCTGTTCTTCTGAACTTTCTATTCATCAAAGAAACCGGGAAAAAAAATCTACACCACTGTTTTCAACATCATAATAAATGTTTTTTGATCAGCAAATCAGAATATTAGAATGATTTCTGAAGATCATATGACACTGAAGACTGGAGTAATGATGCTGAAAATTCAGCTTTGATCACAGGAATAAATTACATTTTACAATATATTCACATAGAAAGCAGTTATTTTAAATAGTAAAAATATTTCAAAATGTTACCGTTTTTGCTGTATTTTGGATCAAATAAATGCAGGATTGGTGAGCAGAAGAGAATTCTTTAAAAAACATAAAAAATCTTACTGTTCAAAAACTTTTGACTGGTATGTTAGCCTATAGTTTGAAGTAAAAAAAATATTAATATTAATATTAATAAGGAGAGTCTGAGATTTATTTGACAGTGATTTCACATTTCTTGTTTGTATGAAGGCTAAATACCAATAAAAGCTGAACATGTATTTATTTGCGCCATTTTTTCCTAAAATATTATATAGTTTTATAGGAGTAGGTTTCAAATTAGAGTTGGCAAATTAATTTTTCATACGTTTGTAGGTACAGACATCTGTTGTGGCCGTTCTTGGCCGTTTTTATGAGGCTTTTTTAATAGTGTTCATATCGATATCGGAATTATATCGTATCGACCGAAATTAAGAAATATATCGTGATATAAATTTAGGCCATATCGTCCAGCCCAAACAGAACGTTGTATATTCATGCAACATATAATCAAATTCAGACCCTTGTTTGCATATACATTAAAACTGTTACATAATCTCAGAAACAGACTTTGATGTCCTAGGTCCTTTTAGGAACTGGAAAAGGAAGACAAAACATTCTAGTACACTGACATTCAAGTGTTAGTGGGAATTTCCATACAACTCGGGGAGAATCCATAGGACAGACATATATATATATCCAGTGCAAATAAAAGCATACACCTCATTGGACTTTTTGTGCTACATGAATCATTAAGTATTTAACTCACAATTTTGCCGTTTGTCAACACAAAGTGCTCTGCAATCTTAAAATATGTATTAAATTAATTAAATGTAAAAGTCAAAGGAGGTGAATACTTTTTACAGACACTGTATATACGGTTTCCAAACTCCAGGATCTGAGATCCCGCAATGCAAACATTTTATACACACTCCTGACGCAAAATTGCAACGCACAAATCGCAATGCAACACGATCTGTAATGCAACACACGTAGGGGAAACCAAGAAAGTGACAGACAACCAGACATAGAGTAATATACCTTTTTGTTTTCTAAACCTTCCAGCTGAAATATAAAATATCACCAGTTAACTGTCCCCAAAAAATACATACTAGTGCACAATAAATTATAATAAATAAATAAATAGAAATACAAATTATAAAATAATAATAATGTCAAATTTAATAAATATATATTAAAATAACAAATACAATTTTTAAATATAAAATAGTTTTTAACAATGTTTCCCACAAATGTTTAAAATATACGGACACGCACTCAAACAGTATGGTACTCACTGTCCGTTGCAGAGCAGTCGCTTGCTGTTTCTGCTTTCTCACTGCAAGACAAACACAGGAGGCTTGGAGGACAAACTCCATTTACATGCTAATATAAGCTACATGGACGTGCATTATTAAAAATACCATTCAAATGAATGTTGACAGCTCCAAAAGTCATTCAAAAGTTTCAGGTTTAATAGTGATATTCAGTAGTATTGGACCGAAGTCCAGATTTCTTACGGGCTGTCTGGTCCTCGGGTCAAAACGCTCTGAACTAATCCGGTTAAACTGGCTATCTGCTTCTCCATGGCCTCCATGCGCTCTCTAAAAATACAAAATACCATTAAAAGCATACAAACAAAATTCTCTCGCAAAACTTCAGTTCATCCAAAAAAATATTTTTTAATATAAACTATTAAACTTTATAATACTAAATAAAATATAATATATACAAATACATATTATTATAAATAATAATAAAACGTCAAATTTAATCATTATAAATGATTACAAATACATATTTAAAATAATAATGTCATATTAATTATAGATTATAATTCATAATAATACAACATAATTAAAAATAAATCAAATAAAATCATATATATTTATAATAATAAATATAAATTATAATAAACAAGTAGAATGTATATCAATATTAAATAATGTAATATAATAATTATAATAGAATATAATTTGCCTTCATTCACAACATTTTTTAAGTTCTCTCATAAAACTTTTGAGTTCCCCTGAGAAAACCTATATTCTCTCACAAATCTTCTGTGATAGAAATTATATGAGGTGCAGGGCAGAAAAACTATATTTCAATGCTTGTGCGCGTGCTCCAGAAACTTTTGTGTTCCCCCCCAAATATCTTATGTGATTGAAATAAGTGAGAAGAAAAACTATATTTCAATGCTTTTGCGATCTCTTGCAAAATGTTTGAGGTCCTCTGAGAAAAACTGCATTTGTTCGCAAATCTTTCGCATTTTCAACCCACAAGTTGTTCCAAATCTGTATAAGTTTCAATCTTCTTCACAAAAGAAGATATTTTGAAGAATGTGAATAACCAAACAGTAGACAGCTGTCATAGCTTCCATAGTCAAAAGTCAATGGCTACCGTCAACTGTTTGGTTACCAACATTCTTTAAAATATTTTCTTTTGTGCTCAATAGAAGAAAGAAACTCATACAGGTTTGGAATAACATGAGTAAATGATGACAGAATTTTCATTTTTGGGTGAACTATCCCTTTAAGGAGAGAAAACCTAAGCAGAACTGACTCTCACCTGGTCTCTTCATTACCAGGTAATGTTGAGCCGTACACTGGTAAGGGCCCTCCGTCTCCTCCGGGGCCCCCGAGCATACATATCTGCTCCAGAGGTGGTCCTCCTGGACGATTCTTTGGACTCTCTATGTACACAGTGCCATCTTTACGAAACCCATGTCTCCCAGGGGACCCTCGTGCCGGGTGGCTGCCATACGGATCCCTGCCATCAGACAGTTTTTGAGGCGAGGCTGGAGGTAAGGTGCGGAAACCCATCGTAGCATATGGATCTGCGTATATGGGACCGCCGGGCCTGTAGAGGGCGCCCTCGAGCTCACATTGCAATGCTGCGGCAGGGTAGCCACCAATAGAGCGCACAGATCCGCGGCGGTACGCCAGAGCTTGCGGTGAAGCAACGCTGAGCCGAGGATCCTGGACGAGCGCGTATGGGTCTGCGTATATCGCTTCGTTTTTTAGCAACACCACGCTTTTCGAGGACGATGTAATTTCCTCGTCTGGTTTCACATCACGCCGTTCTAGAATGGCACTTGGGGAGGGGCAAAATGCAGGGTGGGTGTGGCCGGCCTGCTGGGGGGCGTGGCCTCCGGGGTGGGCGTGGTGTTGCTGATAGGGGTGGAGCTGAGGCGACGGATGGGGACCCGCGTAAGAGGAAGGACGCACACCTGTGTAAGAAAGACGTGATTGCGAGCGTGATGGAGATCCAGAGGGAGGAGAGGAAGACGGGAGTGTGTTTAAACGCCGCGTGGGAGACGATTCCCTCGAGGTGTACACCAGCTCTCTCTGGAGGAGTCAGACAGAAAGAGAGAGACAGAACGGGAGAGAGGAAGAAGTTGGGAGATATGACATATGACAAAAACAATTCATAGTATCAGAACAGAACTGTGCCATTGCATGTTTTCTCTGTCATTTATACATACAATATAGATTTTAGTTCTTCATCATTATCATCTACATGATGGGATCATTAAACATCACATTGGAATGTTTTATTTGACATAATATGTTACACAGCTACCAGTTTTAACCAGATGTGTTGCCTCACCCGCAGGTCTCCGTTGGCGATGTGTGTGTGGTGAACGTGGTGAGCTGTGTGTTGAGTATTGTAGTGAGTGTCTCGTATCGGAGTCTCTCTGCAGTAAATCTTGATGAGACATCGGTCGTGGATGTCACGAGGATCCTCCAGCTCGTAGAAGATGTTGCGTGCCTCATCCTTCATAAGGAGAGCTGTGCCGGGCGAACGCAACGCGCCCATCGTCAGTTTCTGGGGGAACATGTGCACGATGAGGGCGTGAAGCGTCTCCATGCTGGTCAGCTCATGAGTGATGTGCACCCGCCGCGTCTCGTCACCGAACTGCAAAAACAACACCGCTAGAAAGACACAACAAATGTTAATAAGATTTAGTTCATATTTGATATGCAACACAATAGTAAAATGGTAAAAATTGGAGTGATACATTCTCTTGTAGCTATACAAAATACTGAACGCTGCTTGTCCAATCAAATTAGTGAACCAGAATCAACTGCTAAGAGTGTAAAAACTCCCTCCCTGATTCACCCAGAATTTTTATTGAAATTAAGCTGCAAAACTGACTCATGCAGGGAAATAAATCTATATTTCTGTAGATGCTTCACTTAAACTGCATTCAAAGTGCACATTTTTATCAGTTCATGCATGCCCTGGGAATTGAACCTATGACACTGATGTTGCTAGCGCCACAATCTACTGTTGAGCAATTTGTAGATGCATTTCAATTGTATGACAAATTTCCATTTTATATATATACAGTGGGTACGGAAAGTATTCAGACCCCCTTAAATTTTTCACTCTTTGTTATATTGCAGCCATTTGCTAAAATCTAAGAAAAGAGCTAGAGCAGTGAAAATCCCCATTTCCACCATCAGGACAATAATTAAGAATTTCCAAACAACAGAAAATGTTACAAATCTGCCTGGAAGAGGATGTGTGTCTATATCGTCCTAATGCACGGTTAGGAGGAGAGTTTGAGTGGCTAAAGACTCTCCAAGGATCACAGCTGGAGAATTGCAGAAAATAGTTGAGTCTCGGGGTCAGAAAACCTTAAAAAAAAAAAATCAAACAGCACCTACACCACATGTTGTTCGGGAGGGTTTCAAGAAAAAAAAAATCAAGAAAAGAAAAAGTACCCCATGTGTACAATGAAATATACTGCTGTATCTGTTATGTTGTGGGCCTATATTTCTATATCTAGATACATCGCATCTTCGATTCTATCAAATACCAACAGATAAAAAATCAAAAAGTGACTGACTCTGTTAGAAATCTTATAATGGGCCATGTTTGGATCTTCCAACCGGACAATAATCCAAACACAAACCTCAAAAACAACACAAAAATGGGTCACTGAGCACAAAACCAAGCTTCTGCTATGACTATTCCAGTCCTCTGACCTGAACCCTATAGAAAACGAGTGTGGTGAACTGAAGAGGAGAAGCACCATCATGGAGCTGGGAATCTGAAGGGTCTGGAGAGATTCTGGATGAAGGAATGGTTTCTGATCTCTCGTCAGGTGCTCTCTAACCTCATCAGGCATTATAGGAGAAAACGCCTTCATAATAACGAAGCTGTTATTATGCCAAATGGAGTTTCAAAAAGCATTGAATAAAAGGGTGCCGTTAATTGTGTCCAATGTGTATTAGAGAAAAACATTTATGTCATAATGATATTTCCCCCCATTTTAAATTCCTAATCTCCAATGAAAGGTTAGATGTATGTGAATTTTTTTTATAAAAGATCAAAATGATTAACAATGCAGAGATTCATTTTCACAGCCTTCTTTGATCATATTTACCAAGGGTGCCAATAATTCTGACCACGACTGTATATATATATATATATATTAATAATTTTATTCAGTAAAGATGCATTAAATTGATCAAAAGTGACAGTATGAAAATTAATAATTTTTCAAACTATTTTTCTTTTTCAAATAAATGTTGTTCTTTTGAAATATTTCTATTCATCAAAGAATCCTAAAATCACGGTTTCCGCAAAAATATTAAGCAGAAATCAGTTTTCAACATTGATAATAATCAGAAATGTTTCTTGAGCAGCAAATCAGCATATTAGAATGATTTCTGAAAGATCATGTGACACTGAAGACACTGAAAATTTGATCACTGAAATAAATTATATATTTTTTTAAATATTCAAATAGAAAACTTATTTTAAATAAAAATATTTCACAATATTACTGTTTCTACTGTATTTTTGATCATATAAATGCAGTCATGGCGAGCGTAAATGACTTCTTAATTCTTACCAACCCCAAACTTTTAGTAGTAAATTATGAATGTAGAATAAATAGGAAGTATTTAATTTCAATTCAACTTAGCAGACAAAATTTCTAGGTTTTAAACCATTCAGTTTGGTAAATGGCAGAGCAACTTTTAGCAATAACTGGATACATTTTATAAATATATATAAACTCAATCAATCTAATTCAATCTATATAAATTAATAACTCTAATACCATCGAACATACCAACCTAGCTTCAGTATTTAGCATCATGATCCTTCCTGAGGATTGTAAACTACGCTCAATATGGAGGTTAGCCAATAAAAACAGAGGTTATTTATATATACAGCAGAAGTATAAAAGGCTCACAAGCAACAAAGCCAGGTCAGATAGAGAGTGTTATGAGTAAAATATCTGTGAAGTATATTCCCATTCATATTTACAATTTTGAGCATACCAGGGTGATTATGAACATTAAATTATCCAGCCATGGCTTCCTGTTTCACAGGAATATAAATAGGAGGGGAAACAAAGGCCAAAATCCCTTACTCATCCATCACAATGAGAAAAACCAAAGAATATATTTCTGATGTGCAGCAAAAGATAATTGAGCTTCACAAGAAAGTGACTTTAAGAAAAGAGCTAGAGCAGTGAAAATCCCCATTTCCACCATCAGGACAATAATTAAGAATTTCCAAACAACAGAAAATGTTACAAATCTGCCTGGAAGAGGATGTGTGTCTATATCGTCCTAATGCACGGTTAGGAGGAGAGTTTGAGTGGCTAAAGACTCTCCAAGGATCACAGCTGGAGAATTGCAGAAAATAGTTGAGTCTCGGGGTCAGAAAACCTTAAAAAAAAAAAATCAAACAGCACCTACACCACATGTTGTTCGGGAGGGTTTCAAGAAAAAAAAAATCAAGAAAAGAAAAAGTACCCCATGTGTACAATGAAATATACTGCTGTATTTTTAATGTTGTGGGCCTATATTTCTGCTGGAGGTCCTGGACATCTTGTTTAGATACATGGAATCTTTGATTCTATCAAATACCAACAGATAAAAAATCAAAAAGTGACTGACTCTGTTAGAAATCTTATAATGGGCCATGTTTGGATCTTCCAACCGGACAATAATCCAAAAACAAATCTTAAAAACAACACAAAAATGGGTCACTGAGCACAAAACCAAGCTTCTGCTATGACTATTCCAGTCCTCTGACCTGAACCCTATAGAAAACGAGTGTGGTGAACTGAAGAGGAGAAGCACCATCATGGAGCTGGGAATCTGAAGGGTCTGGAGAGATTCTGGATGAAGGAATGGTTTCTGATCTCTCGTCAGGTGCTCTCTAACCTCATCAGGCATTATAGGAGAAAACGCCTTCATAATAACGAAGCTGTTATTATGCCAAATGGAGTTTCAAAAAGCATTGAATAAAAGGGTGCCGTTAATTGTGTCCAATGTGTATTAGAGAAAAACATTTATGTCATAATGATATTTCCCCCCATTTTAAATTCTTACTCTCCAATGAAAGGTTAGATTTATGTGATTTAAAAAAACAAAAGATCAAAATGATTAACAAATAAGAGATTCATTTTCACAGCCTTCTTTGATCATATTTACCAAGGGTGCCAATAATTCTGACCACGACTGTATATATATATATATATTAATAATTTTATTCAGTAAAGATGCATTAAATTGATCAAAAGTGACAGTATGAAAATTAATAATTTTTCAAACTATTTTTCTTTTTCAAATAAATGTTGTTCTTTTGAAATATTTCTATTCATCAAAGAATCCTAAAATCACGGTTTCCGCAAAAATATTAAGCAGAAATCAGTTTTCAACATTGATAATAATCAGAAATGTTTCTTGAGCAGCAAATCAGCATATTAGAATGATTTCTGAAAGATCATGTGACACTGAAGACACTGAAAATTTGATCACTGAAATAAATTATATATTTTTTTAAATATTCAAATAGAAAACTTATTTTAAATAAAAATATTTCACAATATTACTGTTTCTACTGTATTTTTGATCATATAAATGCAGTCATGGCGAGCGTAAATGACTTCTTAATTCTTACCAACCCCAAACTTTTAGTAGTAAATTATGAATGTAGAATAAATAGGAAGTATTTAATTTCAATTCAACTTAGCAGACAAAATTTCTAGGTTTTAAACCATTCAGTTTGGTAAATGGCAGAGCAACTTTTAGCAATAACTGGATACATTTTATAAATATATATAAACTCAATCAATCTAATTCAATCTATATAAATTAATAACTCTAATACCATCGAACATACCAACCTAGCTTCAGTATTTAGCATCATGATCCTTCCTGAGGATTGTAAACTACGCTCAATATGGAGGTTAGCCAATAAAAACAGAGGTTATTTATATATACAGCAGAAGTATAAAAGGCTCACAAGCAACAAAGCCAGGTCAGATAGAGAGTGCCAAAATGGTCTAAATGATTAAATGGTGAATGAAAGCTTGACTAACATTAAAAGTGGCAATAAAATGCCACAAAAGTGTAGATGTGTCATACCTGGTGCTCTCAGTTTAGCCTGGCTGGGTGATCGTGCCAGTGGAAGACTCTGTCTGAGGATGTTAGAGCGACTGAAGCCCAGCGGCAGCTCGGCATCGGCCATGCTTTCCAAACTCTCCGCAGACGCATAACACATTCGCCCTCCTACCTGCTCACCCAGAGACTGCTGCTGCAGCCCCGCAGCGCTGCGTGGAGTCCGCGCCTGCAGGAGACAGAGACAGACGGATCAGTGTGTGTGTGTGTGTGTGTGTGTGTGTGTGTGTGTGAGGGAGGGATGGAGGGAGAAAACATTCTGTAATTGCCCGTATTGCAGAAGTAGCAGTTTTGCAAGGGTATTGAAACCTCTGTGATGGGAAGGCAAAAGAGCATCTAGGGAAAATTAGGATGTGTGTGTGTGAGTGAGTGTCTCCAAAGTAGTGAAAGGAAACACATGCAAGGCTGAAACATTCTCAGATCATGCTGATAACATGATCATGTCAGCTCGACTGCTGCTGTGGCTGAAGCAAAAGAAGACAACCTCAAATTCATGTTGATTTCTCAATTTAGCTCTTCACTCATGTTGTCGTATGAATAAATATTTGCATGTCTGTTTATTTTCAGCTGGTAAGATTTCATCATTTATATTTTCTAGTTTTCAATTTGAATACTTTTAATATTGCTTTAGCATGCCCTAATAAACATATACATATAAACACATTTCAGTAATAGAAATATTTCTTATTAGTATCAGTGTTGAATATAGTGGTGCTCCTTTATATTTTTGTGAAAAATATCATTTCAGAATTATTTGACAAATAGAAAGTTCAAAAGAATAGCATTTATTTGAAATACCTTTCGTAACATTATAAATGTCTTTACTGTCACTTTTGATCCGTTTAATGCATCCTGAATAAAAGCATTAATTTCTTTCAATTTAAATTTCACCAAGTGGATTTTGCTGTATTTTTTATATACACTGTAATTTTTTTTCGAAGTTGTAAATACTTTTTATCCAAAAAAAAGATTACTGGAGTAGAAAATACTATTTCAGTCTTTCTACTTCAATTTCACAATTAATTCAATGTGTTACTAGCCGTTTCCGTGTGTGTCTGTGTGTGTGTGTGTGTGTGTATTTTTTTTAACAAATCAATGGGTTTTCAATCAGCAAAAAAACATGATTTAACTTAGAGCTAAAATTAAAGTAATATAATACAAAAAACATTTGACATTCCAGAGGTTTCCTAAATAACAAACCAAAATGTCAAAAAGATTACCAAACAGACAAAAATTGCAAAAATACTTAATTTTTACAAATTTTCAAGAGGAAAGGTTTCTACTCACACCAATACAGCAATATCTGCTTTCTTTAAATCTCAGCACAGCACATGTGGATGTCAGAGATGTGGCGGTGCATAACGGAGAAAGTTTGTAGTCCTAAGAATCTTAACCTGACCATACTGTTCCTGCACCTCTGATTGGCTAATACATTTTAATTGACATGCATTCCAGCCAATCAGAATGTGTGAAGTCTTGATGGACAGGACAGATGTTTGCAGCTGTGCCCCTCCATGCCAAATTTCACGGGTGTTAACAGTCCTGGAATACCATTCTAGTGAGAGATATAATCAGGAATGTGCTGCAAGTTTCAAACATCTATTTACAAACCAAATAAATGTAACAGCTTGACAATATATTGTAATTATGGATGCATAAATCTAGTGAGAATCGCAGCATTGATTCTGGCATCTGTCTCTATGGGCTACAGGTTAATGGCTTCACAATAAGAGTGAATTAATCTAATTTCCCCTTAATAAATACATTAATTAGCATGACAGCATCAACACGACAGCGCTTATTGTTTGAGAAGTGTGGCCGTTGTGCATGCAGGGATGGATTATGACACAGTGCTGCCCTGGGCACGAACCGATTAAAGGCCCCCCTCAGTTGAAATTTAGTTCCTTTTTTATTCGAAATTTCCCCAAACTTGTTAACTATATCATAAAATATCACGATTCTCAAATATAAGTAAATGCATTTTGCACCTTTATAAATCATGTTAGTTTATCTATAATGGGCTATGGGGAAATTATTAGTGTAATCTATTAACTAGCCTATGCATAAAACCCATCTTTTAACTTGTAGATATGGGTGTCATGTCATAGAATATTTTGAATATGACTGGATTTGTATTTAACATAAATTTAATAAAAACATTGTAAGTTACTAATTACCTGAAGGATCATGTGACACTGAAGACTGGAGGAATGATGCTGAAAATTCAGAACAAAATATATTTAAAAATGCATTCAAATGTCTATTTTAAATTGCTATAATATTTCGTATTTGTACTGTTTTTAATGTATTTTTTGATCAAATAAATGTAGCCTTAGTGAGCATAAGAGACATTTAAAAAAAATCTTTGAACAGTAGTGTATCTTACAGGTTACAGCAACCCCGGCTAACACTGGCTCCTTTTGAAAAGATTTTATGGGATTTTTACCTTTAACAGGATTGGACACTGGCAGACAGGAAACAATTAGAGAAGAGGGATTCAGGGAAATGCAATCTGTCGAGGCCCGACGATCAAGTAATTGAGCGAGACACTTCAGGGCAGAACTGTCCCAGCTATAAATGCATTTACAATCGCCCAGTATGAAGTGTCTAAATGGCAACTAATTATAAATTGCTGAATTTTTAAACAATCTATTCATTATTGATATCCATTATTAATATTCAGATCTAATATATGCATGTGAGAAAATCCAACCGCAATGAAAGTACCTGGTTCAGCACAGCGGACGGTTCTTGTAGTCCAGCATGCCGCGAGCTCATCGGTACACCTGGGGCCAATTTAACCAAAGCGAGCCGTGCATTTCCACATGCCAGAAGCGGTCAAAGAGCTTCCAATCTAGGGTAACCAGGAGGCTTTTAGTTTCCTGTCTTCGGAAATCTCCCCGTTTTACAACACGTGCATAACAATATATTGCAAAAAACGACCTACACTGCCTGTTACCAGAGCAAATGTGTAGTGACTATTTTCACCAACAGAGGGTGCTGTGAGATTGCCGCCACCCAGGAACGCAGTAGCCCCTTACTGCAGAACACAAGATCCAGGGGGCGTGGTTGGATCCACATCTAGGGGGTGGATATTAGTAGGTTTAGGTATATGTAAGGTGGGAGGAGTTGGATCTGGATCCAACCACGCCCCCTGGATTCCAAGTCACGTTCTGCAGCGAGGACCAGAACGTGACTTGGAACGCCAATTTGCTTGGACTAGTTTTGAGTGGCAGTTGGGCTGGTTTTGTTACGCAGACTAGGGTTGTGACGGTGAGGAAATTTTCCCACCGGTTAATCGGGAGCAGACTAGGGTTGTGACGGTGAGGAAATTTTCCCACCGGTTAATCGGGAGCGTTCCCTCTTTTCCTGGCTTTCCTTCGCTTTTAAATAGCTTGTAAAAGCGGTGTGGGCATTTTACTTTCACTTTCAAATAGTGGCAATTCGGAGTAAAGCAATTGTTCGTTTTTAGTTCGGTTGAATTTTCCCTCTTTTACTCCGCTTTTAAATAGCTTAAAAGCGGCGTGCACATTTTACTTTCACTTTCGAATTAGCGGCAATTCGGCATCAATTGCTTGAATGCAACAACAAAATACAACGTCAAACTCACTTTAGCGTATATATAAAACATAGAACTTTTATTAACAAAACAAATAAAAATACACCATGCTATAGGGCAGGCTATGCCTAATATAAAATAACTTGCATAAAGTTTAAATAGGTATACAAAACTGGAAATAAGTAAACATGTATAATATATAACCAAATAAATAAGAAACGTAGAATGTTTATTAGCAAAACGAGTAAGAAAGCTAGGAGGCACGGCATACACCTTGATGTCAAATAAAATAAATAAATTACACAAAGTTTAAATAAAGTAAAAAAATCATCAAACAATGTGGAACCAATTAAATAAGAAACGAATGTTTAAGAAAACTTCCAAAATCAGATAAACGGCAAAAGTCAACAGGCTTTTCAAAATCCAAAATATGGCCAAACAGGCCTTTTGCATTTCGTTTCGAAACTAAATCATCCGCGATCGGATAACTAAATGAATATTTAATTACTATAATATTGATTTCTCACTAGAACTAACATCAAAAGTGCAAAAGGTTAGTCAGAAATATGTCACACAAACTGACCACCAAACGCAACTTTTAGACGCCATCTTTATTTTTTAGTTCAACCATCACGGAATGGAACACATAGGATTGTGAGATATCAAAGGCAGCGAAGGATACATTGCTGCCTTCAAAAATCGATCAAATGAAAGTATCTCGTTAGATAGGAAGTGAAGCTAACTTTGGATTCGGACATGCCTTGATGCCTTTCTACCTTGGAATGAGTCCTCCGAAGGCAGCATTTAAAGGGGTCATTTGATGCGATTTCAATTTTTCCTTTCTCTTTGGAGTGTTACAAGCTCTTGGTGCATAAAGAAGATCTGTAAAGTTGCAAAGACTGAAGTCTCAAATCCAAAGAGATATTCTTTATAAAAGTTAAGAGTCAGCCACGCCCACCTAAAATGGCGCATTCTAACATATCTACGTCACTATGTGGAAATATTAGCATAATGCGCCCAAATGTGCACGCAAAGAAAGAAGGCGTGGTTTCAGGAACAGCAGTCATGTTGATGCAGCATGTCAGGGAGACGCTGTGTTTCAGTGCGAAAGCACTTTATTTGGCCTTCCGGAAGTAGATCATTGGTTAAGATTTATTTACAACATCCAGATGTTTGAATTTGTGCAACGCATTTTATGGACGACAGTTTTTTAAACCTAGACGACAGTTTTTTGAACCTAGAAGAGTACAAGGCTGGCTGTGCACAAAGTTTCGCCCAATTCCGAATTTGCTATGACAATCTGGCGCTTCTGAATCAGCTACTGTTTTGTTATTAGTTTAAGTATTTGCTATTGACTGTTCAAATGCAGAGTTTTGCGCAGCGCTGAGTAACGCATCGTGTGTGTGAGGGGAACAGGGTCACATCACAGGAGAGTGAACTGTCTGTCAGAAATCATAGCACGTCAGCTGTCTTAACCGCGGCTTGTGTACTGCATCATCACTGTGTCTGTCACACGACTCTGTTGCCCTTTCGGGCTTGAACTGATGGTAAAACTAACGACATTATTAACTGTCTTGATATTTACTTTGAAAGCTGAAGTTACGATTATGGTAAGGGGCGTTACATTTCCGACGCATGCTTGTGGTGTTCGGCCAATCACAATGCACTGGGTCAGCTGGCCAATCAGAGCAGACTGCGCTTGTCAAAGGAGGGGGCTTTGTTGAAAACAACGTGTTTGAGAGAGGCGGGGCATAGAGGACCTACAATAATGTACAGTATTTGAAAAATAATGTGTTTTTTTGAACATTAAAGCATGTCAACATATTATGTTACACCAAATAATGATCTTTAAAATAGCATCATATGACCCCTTTAAGATCTTTCGGACGCAGCAAGTATGTGAGGTGAGTAGTATGTCCGAATTCATAGTATTCGAAAAATGGTATGTGAAAAGTACCTGGAGGACTACTTCTTCCACCCGGATTCTGAAGTGCACATTCGATAGACACTTTACTATCCCATGAGGCCATGGGAGAGGATTTATGAATGGCAGGGAAGCGACGCAACTGACGTTGGTAGGTCATGTGACAGTAACCACATGGCGGATGTAGTACGTACGAATTTCATTCATAATACTACCCATATTCATACTATATGGAACACACTTTAACGGTCGTGAAGTAAATTCACATTCAAATGTAGTAATGGTT